AGCAGTGGGGTCCTCCTGGGTCTCCTGCCATAGCGTTTCATTTCATTTAAATGTCGACGGATAGTTCGCGCTGACACTGATGCTCCCTGAGCCTGCAGGACAGCTTGAATGTCTTTGGAACATGTTTGGGGCTGCTTATCCACCATCCGGACTATTCTGCGTTGCAATCTTTCATCAATTTTCCTCATCCGTCCACGACCAGGGAGATTAGCTACAGTGCCATGGGTTGCAAACATCTTGATAATGTTGCGCACTGTGGACAAAGGCAAATCTAGTTCTCTGGAGATGGACTTGTAACCTTGAGATTGTTGATATTTTGCCACAATTTTGGTTCTCAGGTCCTCAGACAGTTCTCGTCTCCTCTTTCTGTTGTCCATGCTTAGTGTGGCACAGACAGACACACAATGCAAAGGTTAAGTGAACGTCTCTCCTTTTTATCTGCTTTCAGGTGTGATTTCTATATTGCCCACACCTGTTACTTGCCCCAGGTGAGTTTACAGGAGCATCACATGCTTGTAACATTCTTATTTATCCGCAGTTGTGAAAGGGTGCCAATACTTTTGTCCAGCCCATTTTTGGAGGTTTGTGTGACATTATGTCGAATTTGCTTTCTTTCCTCCCTTTTTTTGTTTTGTCCCAATACACACAAAGGGAATAAACATGTGTATAGCAAAACATGTGTTAATGCAATACGTTTCGTGAGAAATACATGATTTCCTGGAGAAATATCAAGGGTGCCAACAATTTCGGCCATGACTGTATATATATATATATACGGGCAGCCCAGTGGCTAAATGGTTAGCACTTCCGCCTGGCAGTACTAGGGTCATTGGTTCGAATCCCAGCCACGGCACCACCTGCCTGGAGTTTGCATGTTCTCCTTGTGCCTGCGTGGGTTTCCTGCGGGTACTCCCGGTGTCCTCCCACACTCCAAAGACATGCTGGTAGGTTAATTGGATCCTGTCTAAATTGGCCCTAATATGTGTATGTATGAATGCAAGTTAGCGACCTTAGATTGTACACCCCTTGAGGGTTAGGGACTGATGTGAATGTACACTATATGTGTAAAACGCTGTGTAAATTGACGGCGCTATATAAGTACCTGAAATAAATATGTTAAAAAAGTGCTGAAGCGTTTTGAAGAACCCTTGTATAATTAAGTGATCATTTAAAGTTTTTATGTAATATTTTATATGATGGAGACATAGGCATACTGTATGTGTGGCACTCTTTCTAATGATTGGGACCATTGGGGACTGTATTCAGACAGGAGAGGTTAGTTAGTATCTTGCCTCTTTGAGCACGTATTGCCTCAATTGTCTCCACTACCATCTGGCTTGATGGGCCAAGCCTAAGGCCACATTTGCATCTTCATGGTGGCCTAGAAGTGGTGAGTTGGGTAGAGACTGTGAAGCACTGAATGACCTGACCCTCTACTCATGACCCAACTGCACAGTGTCTTGCGTGAGTACCACATCTGAGTGAGTGATGTGACAATGTGCATAAGCACAATGATTACATCATCAGCATAGCCCACCTGATGATGTCACACATCAGAAGATGTACCGACTGAAAAGGACTGCATAATTACTGTAGGATTATATGAGAAATGTAATGTGTTGGTCATATTATGAAGCTATTCAAAACATGCATGATTTTTTTTGTATGCATTTAATTTTTTTTTTATTAAACCTGAATAAAAGCCAAGTTATATGAAAAAAAAAACCTTTCCTTTTACAAATCTAGATTGTGCAAGTGAACCTATAGATTTAATCTGTGTAAAGTGTTATGCAGTTAAATCTGTTCTTGAAAAGAGATTTATGTAAGAATGTACACCTTTCTTTAATATTTTACAACTCTGATTATCTCAGGTTTTAAAGCCAATTCTGACGCAGTGGGATTGATTTACTAAAACTGGAGAGTGCAAAATCTGGTACAGCTGTGTATGGCAGCCAATCAGCTTTTCACTTATTATATTATACAGGATTTACTGTATATAGTGCCAACAGTTTGCGCAGTGCTTCACTTCAGCTTGTTCAATTAAGCTTTGACAATAAAACCTGGAAGCTGATTGTTTTCTATACAGAACTGCACCAGATTTTGCACGCTCCAGTTTTGGTAAATCAACCTCAGTATTTCAATTTATAATGAAGTTGGGAGAAGCCAGACTATTTAGATTTCAAAAATTCATATCAACCAATATTGTTTATCAAGCATGTTAATGCTAACAATGAAAGATGATTGACATTGTTTTTCTAATGCAATATGTTCTTTCTGTACATAAAACGTTTTCATTTTCCTAACTATGTAATTCTTCATTGGCCTTATTCAATAGGTCAGTACAAAGTTTAATAACACTGTACACAGTACAGCAACCCAAAGAAACTAATTACTTTTAAGTTTACTGTAGTCAGGACAGTGAATATATTTTTGATTACTGCATTATGTACTTTGCACTCTTTCTTTATTGAATAAATAAAAAATCCAGTTTTTTTATCCTAGTAAACTAGAAGATGTGTTAGTGAGTAGAAATTAAACTATCAGTCCTTTTTCAGGTAATAATGATATTGACAATAATGTATACTAAGATTTAATTGCTTACTGAAAACAGAAGAAGCTTTATAAGTGTCAGCTCATGGCTAAATCAATGTTTATGCATGATATATATTTGAATAGCATCACTTGCTGCCTGCAGGCTAAACAATGTTTTTATCTGTTTGCTACTTCTGATCCTTGAACCACGGCACAGAGTGTTGCAAATCGCATTTAGCAACAATTATCTGCTGGCATTTCATGAAGGAGAAACTAGCGTGATTAATGAAAAGTGACATTCATCGAATGCTCTGGTATCCTAGTCTCTTTTGTTGAATAGGTGACTTTGATACATTAAGAAGTGACCTTTGTTCATATGAAGGTTACAGAGATTGTACAATTCCGTTTCCAAAGATACAATTCCCTTATAAATTTCCACTTTTTGTGTACATCACAAAACAGTCAGCCTAGAAATAAACAATTAAACGTGATATTCCAACACACACAAAAAAAAATAAAATAAAATATATACAATATTAAACCCTCTCTGAGTTTATAAAATGCAACAATAAAAAACAACCACAGCTTTCATAGCAGTGCCTGTCATTATCAGCAATGGTTTATGCTCCTTTTTTTTCATTTTGCCAAATAAACTGTTCCAAGGACTTTCGTTTTTATACAAAATTGCCTAAAGCAAAACTGCAACATTAGTGTTTAACTTCTACTTTCCTGACAAATGGCAGTTCTCAGCATTTTTAACTGTAATAAAAGCTATTGTAAAGTGGCTTTATTCTGCAGAAAGTGCATCAGGTTGCATAGGCAGGAAATATATTAGCAAAGTGACACCTACTGCGCAGAGAAAAAAGCAGAACTATAATTAACCGAGACCTAAATATCAGATGGCATTTGAACTATCATAATTCCTATAACTTCCTGTCACAATTCTTGAGTTCTTGGCTGGCAACCTTCAACCTTGGATTTTTACATTTTAATTACTGACAGACACAAGTTCTATTTTATATATTAGATTTTCTACCAGAAGGTTTGGAGTCTTAAATGGCATATTTCTTGTATGTTTTGTAATGTTCCTGGACCAATCTGAATTTGAACAGGTACATAAGGAAGGTTATTATCAGATCTGCCTTTTCATAGACCATGGATGACTAAAATACAGTTACACTGCAATTTTTAATCGTTTTAATGGACTTCCAAAGAAAGGAGGTGAAATAGTTTATAATCAATGAGTGTTCCCCTATGTTTGCTTTCATTTTAAACTAGTCTAAAATATGAGTTAAAGGTAAACTCTATATATCTGATATTACATATATTATTGCTAGACAAGCCATGTTGCCATCAAACAGAGCTAAAACTAAAGATGGTATGATAAAAATGAATATCACTTTAAAATAACAAAACCAGCATTTGCTGCCAAATTAAGGTTCAAACAGAGATTGTCCTAGCATGAATTTTTATGTAACTGAATGTCCTCAGTCTGATGGCTAGTATCATTTAACTCTCTTTATTTTAGTCCAGGTCATCTGGGACCTGCCCCAGGTTGTGACTAAACAGTTAAAGGAGAAGCAACACAACCATTAGGCCATCTTTGTGTCACTTTGTTTCTCTTCCTATCAGCTCATTGGCTTGTTCATTCTACTGCTTCATACTCCAGCTCTGCTATACATGAACAGGAACAACTGATACCAGGTCAAATTCAGGTAGTTACACTGCTTGCATGTAAAAGCTTTAAGTAAAAAAATGTAATTATATATTAATGATTACTAGCTGAATTCATATTTGTCCTATACATCTGCCTAGAGCAGGGGCGGACTGACCATTCAAGCACTCGGGCACTGCTCGAGGGCCCGGGGTCAGTAGGGGGCCCCAAGAGATGCCCCTAGTACCTTTTATTGGCTTTTTCATAGTATATTTTTTGGGTGTGGGCAAGGACACAGAGGCCCCATGATCCCCTATTGCCCGGGAGCCCCATGAGTTGTTAGTCCACCCCTGGCCTAGCTTTAATGTTATTAAAAATCACCTTTCCATTTTCACCACTTGCCCTCCTGAGGATTTACCCCCCTTCCTGACCAGGCCATTTTTTTCCATTACGGCACTGCGCTAATTTAATTGAAAATTGCGCAGTCATGCAACACTGCAAATTAAATTTACATTCTTTTTCTCACAAATTTAGCTTTCTTTCTGTGGTATTTCATCACCTGTGTGTTTTTTATTTTTTGCGCTATAAAAAAAAAGACAGACAATTTTGAGAAAAAAACAATATTTGTGACTTTTTGCTATTAAACATGTCCAGTAAAAAAAAAAAAAAAAATCTATTTCATCATAAATTTAGTATTCTGGTACAGGTCTTTAATAAAAAATTAAATAGTTTAAGTGAACATTTTAGCTTTTACAAATGGCGGTATAGATACTGGAATTTTTTTTTCTTATTTTTACTAGTAATGTTCAGCGACTTATAGCGGGACTGCAGCGGGTATTCCGACACTAGGGGGACACTAGGGGGAACTGACTTGGTGTCACTGACATCCCCAGTGACACCAATACAGTGATCAGTACTAAAAAAAAAGCACTGACACTGTACTAATGGGACTTGGCAGGAAGGGATTAACATGAGGGGCAATCAAAGGGTTAACTGTGTGCTGTTTTACTTGTGTCTGTGTTTCACTGTAATCACACTGCTTTGGATGGCTGTTCTGTGCACAGCCATCCAAAGCAGTGTGCACAAGCTGACAGGGAGGAGAACTGTATTGTTTACCTACAGTTCTCCTCCCTATCGGAGATGCTCGCCAATCACCTGGCGCCGGCAAGTAATCACCGGACGAGACCCGGTGATTGACAGCCATGGCCCCCTACCTGTAAATGCAAAATCATGTATATATACGTGATTTTGCACACCCATGCTACCCTATAGCAGTATATCTGCTATTAGGGTGGTCAGGAAGCTGTTAATCTGCACCCACTATAAAATTCTAAAACTGTTCAAAAATTGGAGTTCAAATTGCCTCAAAAATATAATTTCCTGCTCATGTGATTGGCCGACTGCATTTTCCAGAAGTCTGCACTCAGAAACTAATTACATTTCAGGCAACCCTAAATAGGAACTTTATTTTTGTTTAGATACCAAGGCTTATCCATTTCTAAAGGGATGCAGACGCTGCCACTTTTCTCATAGAACCATCAGAAATGAGTCTGTGAAGGGAAATGGTAAAGGAAACACTAATGTCTCCAAAAATAGAGAAAGGCATAACATTTATAAGATAAAAAAAGAAAAAAAAGATCTCATTCAATGCTCCAAACCCACATTCTGGCTGAACCTTCAGACCAAACATTTAAAGCCATTTTACCCTAAGTGCTGGGATAGCCTTTTTTCCTGTATCTCTCTATTTGTTTTTATCAATAGTAAAATTGGCTTCATTATTGGATAGTTCCTCCTCTTTGTTTCAAATGTCATCCTTGAGAGCTGGTGGTGGTTATCATCTGTCAAAAAGATAAATCAGCTTGTAATAGTGCTTTGAGACCAGTTCATTTATTTAACTGGTCACTTTAACCATGTCAGTACCAGACACTTTTACCTCCTTCCTGCCCAGGCCAATTGTCAGCTTTCAGTGCTGTCACACTTTGAATGACAATTATTCAGTTATGCAATGCTGTACCAAAATGACATTTTTATCATTTTGTTCAAACAAATATAGGTTTATTTTGGTGGCATTTGATTACCACTGTTTTTTTTTTTATTTCTTGCTAAATAAATTAAAAAATAGCGAGGATGGGTGAGGAGACAGAGAACCTGTCAGCCATGGAGCCGGCTGGAGAGGGGGGGCGGGTGGCACATAGATGACCGTTCATTTCTTGTTTGCTCTATGTGCCGCCAGTCACCTATCCATTTCCTACATACGGTCAGCTACTGTATGCTCCCCCACGGCCGCCCCCCCCCCTCTACAGCACTGCAGGGGATCTGTCAGCATATGCAGTCCCCAGTGCTGACAGTTCCCCCCCCTTCCCCTCACACGGACGGGAGAGGGAGAGAGAAAGCTGCCCCTCCTCCTCCTGCCCTCTCCTTCTGTGTCTGCCCCACCCATACTTCCAGTCAGCCTTGTGTATCTCTCTCTCTCTCTCTCTCTCTCTCTCCTATATCTCTCTCACATCCCCCCCTCTCTCCTATCTCTATCTCTCTCTCACTCTCTCTCTATTCCCCCCTCTCTCTCTTTCCCCCTCTCCCTCCTCTGCCCCCCCTCTCTCTTCCCTACCCCCCTCTCTCTTCCCCCTTCTCTCTCCCCTCTCCCTCCTCCTCTCTCTCCCCTCTCCCTCCTCCTCTCTCCCCTCTCCCTCCTCCTCTCTCCTCCTCCTCTCTTTCTCTCCCCCCTCTCTCCCTCCCCTCCCTCCCCTCTCTCCCCCTCTCTTCTCTCTCCCTCCCCTCCCTCCTCTCTCTCCCCCTCTCTTATCTCTCTCTCCCTCCCCTCCCTCCTCTCTCTCCCCCTCTCTTCTCTCTCTCCCTCCCCTCTTCCCTCCTCCTCTCTCTCTCCTCTCTCTCTCTTCCCCGCTCTCTCTTCCCCCTATTTCTCCCTCTCTCTCCCCCCTCGCTCTCTCCCTCCATCTCCCCACATCTCTCTCTCTCTCCTCTCTCTCTATCTCCTCTTTCTCTCTCTCTTTTCTCCCTCCCACCTCTCTCCTCCCACCTCCCCCCCTCTCTCTCTCCTCTCTCTCTCTCATCTCTCTTTCTCTCCCTCTCTCCCCCCCTCTCCCCCCTCTCTCTCCGCCCCCCCCCTCTTTCTCCCCCTCGCCCTCTCTCCCCTCTCTCTCCTCTCTCTCTCCCCCATCTCTCTATCCCTCCCTCCTCTCTCTCCCTCCTCTCTTATCTCTCCCCCCTCTCCCTCCCTCTTCTCTCGCTCCCCCCTCCTCTCCCCCCTCTCTCCCTCTCTCTCTCCCCCTCTCTCTCCCTCTCTCTTCTATCTCCTCTCCCTCTTCCCTCTCTCCTCTCTTCTCTCTCTCTCCTCCTTTCCCCCCTCTCCCCCTCCTCTCTCTTCTCTCTCTCCCCCTCTCTCTATCTCCCTCCTCTCTTCTCTCTCTCTTCTCTCCCCCCCCCCCTCTCTCTCCCCTCTCTCTCTCTCTTCCCTCTCCCCCCCCCTCCTCTCTCTCCCTCCTCTCTCTCTCCCTCCTCTCTCTCCCTCCCTCCTCTCTCTCTCTCTGATTGGTGTCAGTGGGAAGAATAGTGCCCCATCATTAGTTCCAGTGTGGGAGGAATAGTGCCCAATCATTGGTGTCAGCGTGGAAGTAATAGTACCCCATCGTTGGTGTCAGTGGGAGGAATAGTGCCCCATCATTAGTGCCAGTGTGGGAGGAATAGTGCCCATCATTGGTGTCAGTGGGAGGAAGTGCCCCATCATTAGTGCCAGTGTGGGAGGAATAGTGCCCCATCATTGGTGTCAGTGTGGGAGGAATAGTGCCCCATCATTGGTGTCAGTGCTGGATGAATAGTGCACCATTACTGGTGTCAGTGTGGAAGTAATAGTGCCCCATTGTTGGTGTCAGTGGGAGGAATAGTACCCCATTATTGATGTCAGTGGGAGGAATATCGTCCCATCGGTGTCAGTGGGTGGAGTTATGATAGGAAGAGGTGGAGCCTAAATAGGAAGGGGTGTGGTTTACAGATGAAGGGGTGGATCTTAAACAGGAAGGGGTGGGACAAATTTAGATGCGGGGGGGTGCCCAATTTTAGTCTTGCCTAGGGCAGCACAAAACCAAAATACACCACTGGGTACATAAGGTGCATTCTGGGGAAGATGTCATATGACATCCACCCAGAATGAAAGAGCTCCTGCCAGACTGTCATACTGCAAAAGGCCAAGTAGGAAGCAGTTATTCGGGTAAGTTTATTTTTATTGGGGTGTGTGCATGCATTTATAGTGAATTGGTGGTGTTTATGGAGAAAGAAACACAAATTAAATACACACTAGATTTTGAGCACTGAAGGGTTCTATTTTATCAAATAAAAGTTATTTGTGAAAAACAAAGAACATTGTTTCCTGGACATTTCAGAAAATTGCACATTATATACACACATTAGCATTTTTGTGATGGACTGTTAGTATATTTTCATATTGTTCTAAAATATTTTATGTATATTTAATGTACATTTATAATGCTGTGTATTGGGGGATATTTTACCACTGATCACCAATATAAGGTGATTTTCCAGTGATGACCAATGTAAAGTAGCACTACACTGATCACTCTAAACATTACTTATGCAAGCATACTCTTGACTGCTGTACTGTATACCCTGTATTGAACTATACACACTCCTGACTGTATTCTGTGTTGTGTAGTATATACTCTTGACTGCTACACTATGTAAGCTGCATTGTACATTATATACACCTGAACAAATGTTTTTTGTCCCAACAGTTGCTAAGTAGTCCCTAACTGTCTTAAAGAAGTTCTTCTTTAAGGTAGGCTTAGACAAGACTCTAGACATAGTTCTATATTTTGCACGCAGACAAATGATATGTAATTGAGGAGTTTCTTTTTAAAAAAAAACATTATTTTAAATTAAATATTACAAGATTATACAAAAGCATGACTTGGAGTTTTTATTCCTTGTTGCGGGATCTGACTAGTAAATTATGATACTATTTAAGATAAAGGAAATGTGTACTGACACTGGTTGCCATTGCTTATGCTACTTGCCTGGCTGTCATATCTATTTAACATCTTATTATCCAACATAACATTTTTCTAAAATGACGCAGATCAACAGTCCTAACGTCAAGGAAATACATGGTCACACTTTAATCTTATAACTTTACAATGTAATAGCAATACAAACAATAGTTATATTTACCAATCCAATAAAAGTTTATTGAAATGTCCTTTCATGTTGTGAGTTCTGCCTGGTCTTTCTTTTAACAATTTCCTAGATTTCCTGCATGCTTTCATTTCAATTACATATCCCATGGTACCATGCTGCCTGCAAGCAGTGATTTCTTTACTGACTCTACCTCTTGGAACTCCTCCTCTCAGTATCTCTGTAGACAGAAGGCAGACTTTATGAATTCTGTGACACAGCAGTTCCTACTCACAGAGCATAGTGAATACATGTTGCAGATTTCAAGGAAGTAGCTGTGTGGGGATCTTCACAAAATAAGTTTCCAAGCTTCAAAATTGTTCAGAATAATAGGACTAGGCTAGAAATAATTGAAATACAATGTGGAAATGAACATAAGATTTTACATTTTAACCATAGATATGCTTTAACATTGACCTTTTAATTTGTATGCATGTTCAAAGGTATTGAAAGTTTTGAAGCAAATAATTGTCATTCTTAAAAGAAGAGGTAATTCATGAGAGCCCTCATATTTCTCTTGGTACAGGTTAACTTTAAGAAATGCTGGGTTTGAGACTAAAGGAACTTACAGTATACATTTAACCATCCAACACATACAGTGGGGATCGAAAGTTTGGGCACCCCAGCTAAAAATTTGTATTAATGTGCATAAAGAAGCCAAGGAAAGATGGAAAAATCTCCAAAAGGCCTCAAATTACAGATTAGACATTCTTATAATATATCAACAAAAGTTAGATTTTATTTTCATCATTTACACTTTCAAAATAACAGAAAACAAAAAAATGGCATCTGCAAAAGTTTGGGCACCCTGCAGAATTTATAGCATGCACTGCCCCCTTTGCAAAGCTGAGACCTGCCAGTGTCATGGATTGTTCTCAATCATCGTCTGGGAAGACCAGGTGATGTCAATCTCAAAGGTTTTAAATGCCCATACTCATCTGACCTTGCCCCAACAATCAGCACCATGGGTTCTTCTAAGCAGTTGTCTAGAAAACTGAAACTGAAAATAGTTGACGCTCACAAAGCT